AATAAACTACATGCTGAGACAATGTAAACTTAACAGAAAGAAAAACAGTATTTGAATTGCCTTTAGGTATCTCTGTAGCATTTGGTAAAGAGAATTTTATTGTTTTAGCTGATATATGCAAAAACCACTAAACCTGTTCCCTACGCCAAACTGTACACTTCAAGTTGCAAAGAGCAAATGGTAGAAACAAATGACATAAAAGACAAGCAAGCAGATGAGATAATTTTAAAAAGGACACTTTGTACAGTAGCAGAAGCCTTAGTTTTATATTTGCCTAGACACTGACAGATGGTGCAAGTCTGTAAGTATTAACAGCAGAATGGTTAAAAATATCTGAAAGAACATGAATTGATTTTATGGCTTTTTTAAAAGGGATTTTGTTTATGTAAAGAAAAGGCAACAAAGATATTAAGGAGAAGCTGACTATAGGGCAGCAAATACTAGAAATGCAAAATAGAACAAAACCATTTAATAGAAACCTCATTGTCTCTCACAAGACCACTCAACTCTGCGGCCCAGGAGCTTCATACAACCCAGGAGGACAATATGTCTTGCCTACCATCCATTCACAGAGTAACTGAGGAGAAGACTGAGTTGATTGTATCAGCAAGAAACGCAGCATGTGACCAGCCACCCTCCATTTCAGAGCTGCTTTGCAGCTCACTACTCTTCCTCTTGATCATGTACATCATGCACATACGTTGTAATTCTGCTCAAACACAATAAATCTGGTGCTCCCAGGAAGCCTGCTATTCGTGTGCAGGAAAAGACTATACTAACGGCCACCCTTTCCAAAAATCAAGGGAACAGCCTACAATACAAAAAAATGCAAACATTACTTCTCTAGTGGAGAAGTCACTCTGCCATACTATGTTGTATCTAAGTTCTTGTCCTCCATATAACATATCTGCAGAACTAAACCAACAAGAGTGGATGAAGAAGTTCTTAGCATCCAGAGCAATTTGGTAAATCATCAAGACTAATTCCTCAGATACAAAAGATATCAACTAAAAGGCTCAACTATGTTATGCAAATTAGAGAGGTCCTACCATAAGCTTTCAGTGAAGAGTAGGCAGGAAGGTACTCAGAAAACCCCAACTTCTTTTGTACGAAGTGAAACAGATCCTGAAATTCCTTTTCCTACCCACAAAACAGAAGTCAGAATGGACACTTCGACCATGACAATGCCCCAGCTCTTTTAAAGTTTTCATTCAATACAAGAAGAAAGCAAAACAACCACTACCACAAACACTGACTGGAAAGCGCCAAGGAAAGCTTGGCATAGGTGGGGGAACCTGTCTAAAAAGGACAAGTGTTCTGTGTCTGTTCCTGGCCATCAGGCATCAGCAGCTCACACAGCATCAAGACATGAAAGACCAACAGTAAATTGCACTGGGTTAGACCAATGGGAAAAAAAAATGAAAAAAGGTCTATTCCCCTTGCTGTCTACAAAAGTGTGCAAAGTCACAACAATGAAACCAAGCATTTTATGCATATGACTTTAGAAATAAAGAGATGTATCTGATGCATGGACCTGGATTTGACAACTGGGGAAAATTCATTTTTAAAACTTTAAAAATGGCACATTAGTGACTTGTACTCATTCATCTAAAATGTATTAAACCAAATAGATTACTATTCTAAACATACTAGAAGTGTCACATTATAATTCCAGTAGCAAGTTAAAATATACTTCTTAGAAAGGTCCAGGAATTATTTGATCATGAAGCAAAAATCTATCCAGTTTCAGGTACAGAGGACAAGTGAAGATGCTTTGGACTCTGCACCTCCTAGATCCTCAACTGAGTTCCTGAGGGCTTATCTATTTTTTTAAAGGCACCTCAAACAAAGATGCAAAAATAAAAAGGATCCTGGGAAGATTTTTTTAATCCTACTTTCTTCATTGTGACTAAAGCCAGAAGTTCTCACAATTTTGCCATAAAATGATAGTCAAGTATCTCATTCACAGATTGAGCTTAAATCCAGCTCATAAGTATAATTAGAGAGAGTAAAGGACTCTGCTTCTGCTCATGCAGGAAGAAAAAAAAAAAATTTCTAACCAAATAAATATTTAAAGGTTATTTCATTTTAAAATAGATTCCATCTGAGATTAATTCAGTAGCTTCCAATCTTCTTTTAGTAGAGCCCTTGTTTGACAAAACTGACAATATTTTAGACGTGACTGGGTTCTGTGAAGTCTTTGGTTCCAGTTCACACTTTAAAAATATGCGGGTACTCCATTACTGAGAATCATTTGACTAGAAACCATCTATATAATAAACACAACAGTCACTGTTTTGCCATGTTATTGTCACTTGTATATATAGTAAACACACTTTCAAATCATAACACCATATTCTAAAGACTTCATCTTCTGAAGTAAGTAGCTTCAAAAGCTTTCAAAAGCATCCAGAAGGCAAGAATAGTTCAACGCAGAATTATTCAACAAAATTTTTGTAATATAATCTATGAAAAATTTGAAAGCTATTTACAAAATATTGCTGTTAAATACTTACAATATCCTCTATTATCTCTTTCACTGCAGCTACAGCTAAAATAAATAAGAGAGGGACCAATGTTGTGTAACGGCCTGTTGGTGATACATCTGGTATTTGCTACAAAAAAAAAATAAAAAAAAAGAGAGAAAAAATTTGTTTGCATTGCTGGTTGAAAACATATTTTTAATACAAGCAGCAGTACTTTCTGTGCAAATACAGAAAAGGCAACTGGATTAACTTTTTAGACATGGTACTGATTATTTCCAAGAGAGGGTTACTGTCTTCAATTTAAAAGCAGCTGATACAGCAAAACAACATTTGCATTTTAAATAGCATAGTATTCAGTGGAGTCACTTTCAAAGGTTTTAGCGTCTGCAGAATATTAATCTTCCTTTTCTGTGTTTCAAATGAAATTAAAATACATATTTATAAAATACAATTAATTTTTTCAGTTTAGATTTTTGTTAGAGTGGACACAAGTCCAAGATATTTTTACCTCCTTAGAGTTTTAATCTCCAAGAGATATTTTGTATCAGTACTAGTTATTATTTGAAAAATTTCAAATAGCTGCTTTCTGCCAGACTATTGTAAGAAATCCATTTTTGCTAAGCAGGTATGGGCACAGATGACGCAAGCAAATGTGTATGTAAAGTAAATGCTGAAAAGATGCAGCTACTTACATGATATATATGGATGGTTATCCATACTTACCTTTTTATTGACTACAGTTCTTAATGGCAACATTGATAGGTTAAAGGACTGCTGCTTTAACAGACTCATAATGGGCAATGCAGCCCACCTGACTACAATGAGATCTTTGCAAGAAAAGAGTACACTAATAAGCAGTGCCTCAATGTGGTTAAAAGACATCCTCAATTTATCATACAATGTTTTGAAAAACAGCCAATGTTATTTATAAATTACATAAATTTCTTTTTGCTACCACTACACTGGGCTTCTGAAAGAAAACAGGATGTTATATGTACATATGCCAAGTTCCTTGGAGTAAGACCAATATAGATCTATTTTCCAGGTTACTCTAGACCACATTTTTCAAGCAATTAAATCAAAAACAGGCAGAAAGTTACTGTTGGGCAAGTGCCTATGTGTTGGCTACAAGGGAAAGGGATCTATTACTTCTCCAGCCATTCCTACCCTTTTATTCCTCCCTACATGTATGCCCAAACTCCCCCATTCCAATTACACAAGGCAATAGGAAAGTAAAATGGGCACCAGCCCATACCCTGGTTCCATTACTCCGTATTTCCTACTCCTGCCAGTGTGGTCTCACTGACAGCCTGATAGGAGATAGTGGGCTTGTTAAGTCCTAACAAACAGCTTCTGAAACCTCATATTCTGTGTCGCTAGCTTGACGTGCACAGTGGCACTACAAGAAACACTGCTGGACCACTAGATTACCCTGAGATGCCAGATGGGGTCAAGAGGATGTTTATTTAGTAGCCATGGGTTTGCAGGCAGACAACCTAACGAAACCCTGAACTTCAGATTTTTTCCCCTAGAAAACAGTGTAAGCTACCTGTGCAGATGTATCCTAAGAAACTGCTCCAAGCACTTATAGTAGAAGCAAAGAAACCTGAATAAGCACTGAGTAAGTGCTGAGAAATGCCAGCTACAGGTAACATTTTTCTGTGTGTGCCAGATATTTTTAAAGAGGATTTTCCAGTCACAACAGTCTTTTGCACTTGGCAGTATTTCAGCTATACTTTACCTGTTTTACAGAAGAATCTTTGTGTGTATTTTGTTATCTCCAAGGATTAAAAAAACTCCCACAAAATCAAACATTTATTAAAGGTACATCTATACAACACAGCTATTCTGAGAGGCTCAGAAAGAACGGTACACCAACCTCAGTATCTCTGCAAAACACACTCTATGGTATAAATACTCTCTTAACAAGTTTAAAACATTAGCATCTTGTTGTTGATCTTACCTGAAGTAATGCAATAAAAAGAAAAAACGCATTAGCAGCTCTTCTGAACTGGGAATAAAGGAACCTTGGCAGGAATGTGATTATGTTGTACTTCGCAGTGCTGACAGAGAGAGACAAAAACACGTGCTATTATTACAGTACAAAAAATTCTTCAAATGTATTCTTTCCCTCTCAGTTATACAGCCTTTCAAATAAAACAGAACCTTCTGTGATTTCTGTGCTAGCAAACAGATTTGTTTTGGCTAAAAGCGAAACCGAAAGACTTCTACAGAGACAGTCCTGCAGGAGTCCATGAACCGGCTAACCCAGGGAAGCGCCCACCACCCACAGAGACTGTCCTGAGCTTCCATGTTGAGGCTAGAAGTTCCCTGGTCACCTCTGCCCACTCTGTGGAAAGCAGTCGAGCTCTGCTGCCACTCAGTTACAGGCGAGGAGGAGAGGATAAAAATAAAGAGAAGGTGGCAGGCAAACAGTCGCACCACCACCATCGACAGAGCAGGTAGGGCAGGCCCCGGGCCTGCAGCTCTGGGCCCAGACAAGTACCCTATGTTCAAAGATGATCTGAACTTCAACTGAACTGAAATCTGAATAACAAACCCATACTCTAGGGACGTGATGATGGTGCAGCTGTAAAGCATCTGTATCTTTCCCATTCTGTTCTTAAAAATTTGGAAGGTCAGGTTTCTAATTGAAACAGCTCTGCTGCTCTCCTCATTTCACTTCATTCCCCCCTGCAGAGTCTGAGACTCTAGTGGTCAGAGCAAATGGCAGAAGTGGAAAAAAAGAGAACCTTTTCTTCATTTTTGCTATGCAACATGCAGTGTTCTGAAATTAAATATGTATTAACAAAACCCCTAGATAATACCTGACATGATTATTGCAGAATTTGGTTAGCTGGGGCTGATTGATGAATATAGTTCTTAGTTCCTCTTGATCAGCTAGAGAAGTTTTTTCTGAAACATCATCTGTCTTCTCATAGCCTGTAAAAACACCACATGATTTTCCATATAAATAGATTTATAAACACATATACACAAGATTCAAGGCACAAGATTCAAGGCATCTACTGTGAATGTGAACTCAATGCATTTGCATTTCTCACAAGTAATGATCATTTAAAACCCAAAAAAGTATGCAGTTAAGATGGCTTGTAAAGCTACGATAATAAATAATAACTGTAAAATCTACTGAATTCATAAGTACACTTAAATGGCTTGTGCTGCTTCATGAGAATATGGAATGAACTATTGTCTTGTCGGTGCATTAGCACTCAGAAGTGAGCGGGGGGGGGGAGAGAGCGACCAAACAAAAAAGTCAGTCTCCTCCATCTCTCCCAGTTGAGTGATCTTGAGTTAAAAATCTGCAAAATTCAAAAAATTACTTCCAGTAGTGAGGTAAATAAATACTTAAAAAGGAAAACACTAAGAGAAATATACTAACACTAACATAAGAAAAAGGCAAGTTCAATATACCAGTAATTCTAGGCAACATGTAATGAAAAACATAGTTATCTGATAAATAAGCATTAAAAACTCAGGAGATCTCTATATTGTATACACATCATTCAACAGTTTTGAGTTTTTGCATGTAAAATTCAACATTAGTCATTGCTGAATTTAAAGGAAAGTCTAATATTTAAAAGGGACGTTTACTGTAACCATTATACAAGTCATTCCATACTACTTAATTTATTTTCCTGCACCACATCTGCCCAATATACACAGAACACATTTTCCCCTTTGTGCTTTTTTTTAAGCTAGTGTTACACACACACACGTCCCTGTAGTAGTGTAACAATTTAGAGTTTGCAAAAGAACACATAAACAGGTAATTTTTTTTATAAGCTTTGTGAAAATTTAACCATTAATCTCAACGGCAGAAAAACAATTCATCAAGAGGATGTCCGAACAATCAAATTAAATACGAAAAGCATGTGTCTAGTATAGCTATCTTAAATCAAAATGACTAATTCTATTTATTTGCACAAATCACCTGTTCTGAGAAATACTCATAGAAAATTGTCACAATTAAAACTAAGCAAAAACAGAAAATTAGTGTAAGCTACCCTACAGCAAGATCAATTATATTCTTCCAGTCCACAGCAACAGCTCCCCCCGACCATCATCACCTTGCAAAGATAGCTGAGAGTGGTCCAACAGTGAGACCTGCCTGCTCCCTCTGCACTCATGAATGCATCTGATCAGATCCCATGGACTTGTGCATTCCCAGTTTAAGTGTTCCCTAACCTGGTCTTTTTCCACCAAGGTAAGTCTTTCTTGCTTCAGACCTTCCAACTGGCATCAGGAACCTGTGGTTCCTGAAGGCTGATCTTACCAGTAGAGACCAAACTGGAGAAGGCACTATGTACTGCATCCTTTTCTGTGTCCTTTGTCCCCAGGTTCCCTGCCCC